CGTACGTTCGCGATCTCGAGAGAGCCAGTCGTTACGTACGCACTCGCCCGCGTAAGTCAGCCTTAACCTCGTGCAAGGATGTGGGGGATACATCGTACTAGACAGACATGGCTGCAAGATCTCCTTCCTGGTGTCCGATTACGAGAATCTGAGGGACCCGGAATATCGTGAGTATTGGGAAGACGAACAACTCAGACGGCGGAGAAATTTAAGAAATTTGGAATTCCTTTGCCTAGTAACTGAAAACGATTGATTATGCGCAAGGGATTTTCCCTGTGCCATAGCGAGCGACCCAAGGTGCCCCGATTACCCGAAAACTTATAACACGCAATATTTCATATCCCCCGGCTTCGTCGTTATTACTACCAGCTTCCCTCCCTTCCATCTCCTCCTCCCATATCACCAACTCACAGTGGAATGCCATTGCGCGCTACTGACCCAGCCCACCGTGCGAGGGTTGTCGGTATCACCAAGCGCGTCGAGCTTCGGGAACTACCCAACAGACTCGATCCGAGGACGAGCCGCGGTTGCAAGGCCTCCACGCACAACGCGCCTCGGCGGAATCCGAAGCCTGTTATGAGCGGCGTCGACAACTGGCCGAGCTGCGCGACCGACCCCAAAGACGAAATCAGCAGCGATGGTGATTCCTCCTTCCTTTCAGCCGTAAAAACTAAGCCTGTTGGCAAGGGCAATGTTGTTGGGATTATGTTCGAGAATGCAAGAGTGTTCAGAGTCCCCGAATTGTAGCCTTAAATGCACTACGCATGCCATCTGCCTTATGTTGCACGACATCAGCAACTTCCCTTTTAAGTACGCCCCTTTCTTTTACACCTGTACCCCTGAAACTTTCCACAGGAGATCTCAGTTCCGACCTGGGACTGCACCCCCACTTTCCTAAAATCCTTGGCACACCCCTTTTCGCACTTCCGGGCCCCCATTCGACTTCGATCAGGAAGTCGCGCTGGGCGTGAGGTTGGGCGTTACACCGTTAGGTTTTTTAATGGGAGACAATTGAAATGCCGGAGCCATTACCCAACCTTGGCTACAAAACAACTTTAAAATTTGACAACTTCTGACGACTTGACAAACATTTGTCAAGCCTCGGACAAAATATAGAATCAAAATAGGAACCCGGCAAGCCTTGAAACAGACGACCTGAAAAATCCTGCCTCCATCATCGAAGGGAAGGAGCTTATTCACCTTCCCAACTTCGTCGTCGTAAGGAGCCCTAAGAATAGCTTATCTCAGCAGGGGGCAGACACCATCATCACGCTGAAATTCGTTGCCCCCACAAGAATTTCAGTCTCCGTCATCAAGGAAGTGAACAACACTGCCCAACGTCCTGGTCGGTTATTAATCGTCCGCCGCCCTTCCGCATCGTTCCAATCCACCGCCTCCCCCTCCTCAATTCGAACCTTTTTTTTTTTTCCCCTGCGTTCAAAAAAAAGAAAGAAGAAAAAGAGGTGGACCCGTATGTCCCCAGA